GGTATTACTGATTACCTACCTGTATGATGTACCTGATTAGTATAAGTAGCTTTAGTTTTGAGTAGTTATTAGTTTTATCTTCCTCTTGAAGATGATCACTTGGTGATCGAAACACGTGTTGAGGTGTAAAAATAACGATTTGGTGTTGGGAAAAAACTCCAGTAATATTCATTACTACACCAAAGGTTCCAAATAGTATATCACAAGTATTTATAACATGTTTATTGTCATATTGGTGATCATAATCAGTCTTCTAAAGGCGAATCTTTCAGTTTTTTATATTTTTGATCCATTTTCGAACTGATTCGAGAAAGTATTGTTGTCACTGTTTCAAATCAAATAATTTTTTGAACTTTTTTGGCATGTTTTGCTTGAAAGTGAAACATATTCTATATGGTCAGTAGGAGAACTATGACTATTTTCTTCAACACAGAAAATCAACAAGCCACAGCTTCATCAATGAGGTTTCTATGAAGTATCTTGATGAGTACAATGATATGAAGTTTTATTTATTTCCGAAGAATGGGATTGTAATATATTTTGCACTACAAGCATTTCTTGCGTGTTTGAATATAACACTTTTGAACAGATTTATTGAAGTTTCATACTGGTTGAACATTTTTCGAATTGAGTTACTGGTTATACTTCATATGACTCAGTATTTTCAATGAATTCCTTTTCAATCGACTATTCACGGTCAAATCTGTCAGTGCCGTAGGTATTCACTTTTCGGTGGCCTGATTTCCGTCTGATATATTTTCTAGTACAATAGAACACTCTGAATGAATTCTCAGTATATTTTTCACTACCTACTGTATTTTTTCAAATCTTTTGCCTAATGATTTCATCAGTTGATCCATCATTTGTATTTTCAAAATCGAAACCCGACATGTTGAAATTTGAAATTAATTTTGAACAAAACCTGGTCATGATTACATTTACATCTTTGTGGGGCAGATCTTTTTTACTGAGTTATACAAATGAGGGAGTTGGTAATAATTCACCTAGAAACATGTTCAGTATGTTGATTCGATTGGTGTATATATTGCCCACGTGGCAGTAGACAATGCATTTGAAATTAGGACGAGTAGCTCTGATGGTTCGAATTATGGCGAATCAAATGAGCGATCGCTTTTGTTGAATCACGAATGCTTTGTTTCGTTTTTTGGCTAAGTTTTCATTTTGTTGCCCGAGTATTTATTTTTTTTCACCAATATCGAAGTTCAATTTGACCACAAGGAGAGTAAATCTAAAATAATCGTTATCGAACAGGGAAGAACCCTGTCGGATTGAAATAGTGCTGTCAGTTATTCGGATTACTAAATATTTGATCTGTAATACTGGTTTCATATAGTTGCTAATTTTTTTAACTGGAAACTGACAACAGACAGAAGGTGAATAATCAGATTGGTGACGTTTGGATTTGCAATAGACTCTCAACCTTTGATTTTTGTGCAGTAGATAAACATAAAATAGTGATGAGTTGGGAGAATGAAATATTATTCTGTTAGTCTACTTTCGTTCAGGGTTAGGAAGTAGCGTCAGTCTTCGTCTACTGTCAGTGCCATCGCTTTATACTGAAGCCTGCATATATTCAAATGCTATCTTTGAAACGTCAGTATTTGTGAATGGGAGCATGCTTTGGAGTTATTATTGAAGAATACTCAAATTATCAGAGTCAATAATATCAAAAAGTGGCTCCAAACAGTACCTGCAGAAGAGTGAAACAAATATCTCCAATTTTACAACGTTCATCGATAGATTAGTTAATTTTCTCATGCACAAGGTTATACCTTTTATGAGCAACAAACCGATCTATTTGCTGAATTAGATTCGGCCTCAACAGCACCTGATCTCGTATCAGAAAGCTGACAATAGGCCAATTAATCTGTATATCACAAAATATATGTATTATTATACTGGTCATGTAATTGTGAATTCGGATTGATAAACGTCTTATTATTATTATTATTAATTGTTATTGTGATCTCATATATTTTCGATGGCATAAATAAAGAATTGAAACACTAAAAAGAAAACTGAGAGCTCAAAACGAGTTTGTTGCTTCAAGATAAAGAGTTCGCCGCTTTGGAATGACCAATTGTCAAGTTGCAAAGTTGTTTTCATCCATTGTTAACAACAAAAAGTACTCAAAATTATACTGTATTGTAACAAGAACTTAATATTCGATAATGCCAAATCACAAAACATCAAAATAAAATAGGTATTTCGGAACAAACTCATTGATTTTCTGGAGATTTTCTTGTCCAAAATAATCTCCAGAAAACCAATGAGTTTGTTCCAAAATACGTATTTTAAATTGATGTTTTATGATTTGATTTTGTTAAATATTGAGTTTTTGTTACAATACTACCTGGGCTGAAAAGTCCCGGGCTCAAGAAAGAAAACGGGTTTTTCTTTGTTCAAAATTGGCTTCATTCATCAACGAAGTATCCATCAAGAGTCACACAATCATTTCAGCGCCGCTCTAACATTTCAATACCACCTTTGTAGAACGATTTATTTTTGCCTCAAAATAGGCCTCAGTTTCAGCAATACTCTCTTCATTCGAGCTCTCCACTCAGATGACGATCGTTTCGATTCCGAAGTGAAATGATTTATCCATGTTTCATCCATTGTCAGATATCGATGCAAAAAATTCTGGTTTGTTATGTTTGAACATGGTCAAACACTGCTTAGAATCATCAAGACGTTCTCGTTTTTGGTCAACAGTGATCGCGCGCGGCATCCACTTTGAACAGAGCTTTCTCATAATCAACCAATTTTGAAACTATTAGATAGCGTTCATCATACTGGTATGAGAATAGCCTATGGAGCATTTCGGACTAGTCCAGGGGAGAGTTTGTATGTTGAGTCAAGATAACTTCAATTATAATTGAAACTAACTCAGTTTGACCTATGCTACAAGAATTTCATCAAATCCTAAAAATCCTTCTCATAGTCGCATTCTTCCCAAGCATATGAATGAAATATACCAACAGAAGACTCACATCATACCGCCCATATACACCCGCATCCGCAGAATACCTGTCAGTATCAATCTCTCATCTACCTATCCCATTTCCTTAAATACTCCTCCACCTTGGATAATCGATATTCCACCCTATAACACGGAACTGCTCATATTCCAAAAAAATGAAACTCCTGCGGCACTAATCTGAGAATCTTTCCAGGCCATTTCTTCCAAGTTCTCTAACTTGAATCACATCTACAATGTCATTCCCAAAGTATGCACCATATGGGAAACTTATTCATTAAGGGTTTTTCGACAAAAAGTTATTCTTGATAAAAGTTTGTGTTTCTCCTAAAACTAAACATGCACCAACAAAATACAGTTGAACACACGTAATATACGAGGAGCCTCCAAATATTTGATTTTGAGACAAGAGTAATTTTGAAAAATTTCGAGAAATGTTATTTAGAAAAGTTGTTTTACACTGGAGAGATTTATGCCATCGCACAGGCAATTATACATGCGAGACAAGTAACCGAAAACTGTAATATTCACAGATTCATTGAGTGCAATAGAGGGAATCTGCAAATTATACCCAGAACATCCCCTCCTACAACACATTGAGATAGGCAATCTTCAACTACCAATGAACTGCACAAAATAAATCCCAACATGGAAATAAAAAATTATGCTGGCCTAGTCGAAAAAATCAAGTAACCATAAGTCGCCTAAGAATTGTACACACCCGTCTTATTCACCAACATTTATTGAAAAAAAGAAGCTCGAAATGAATGTGAAAATTGGAACATGGACCTAACAGTGGAACACCCATTGAGATATCAACAACACCAACAAGAGATAAACGATTTGAAGCCAACCGGAGACATAACCACCATTTCAAATAACAAATGGAATAATGTAATAAAATATGTCAAACGAATCCATGTATTTGATTCAATTCAATGTATATTGATATGAATTGTATCTCATATGCACCGCCGACAGTTTCATTTTGAAGGTTAGTACCTACTAACTGAAAAAGCGATGAATGCAATAAGACTAGCTCCATTTATGTGTTAGGCCCGATACTTTTCAGTAATAATTTAAACGATTAGAATAATTTATTCAATAGAGAGAAAAGGCTGGTAAAGATGATTATTATTGTCCAACCTCATCATGGTTAGGATTCCAAGTATGTTCTGCTTGGACATG